CTAACACATCTCTTTCCTGGCACGTTTTAAATTGTGGTAAAACACACATAACAAAATTTATGACCTTAACCATTTTTAAGTGTACAGTTCAGTAGTGTTAAGCATTGCACACTGTTATGCAATCAATCTCCAGAACTTTTCGCCTTGCAAGATTAAACAACTCTCCATTTCCTCCCCTTTCCAGACTCTGGAAACCTCTATTTTCTGTCTCTATGAATGTGACACATTAGATATCTCATATAAGTGGAATCATACGTTATTTGTTCTCTATTTGACTGGCTTATTTCTTTTAGCATATCCTCAAGGTTCATCTACATTGCAGCATGTTTCAGAACTTCCTTCATTCTTAATAATATCCTGCTGTATATACAGACCACATTTTGTTTATCCACTCATCTATCAATGGACACTTGAGTGTTACTTCCACCTTTTAACTACTGTGAATAATGCTGCTATGAACACGGGTGTACAAAAATGTCTGAGCTCCTGCTTTTAGATCTTTTGGATATATACCCAGAAGTGGAATTACTGGATCACATGGCAATTCTATTTTTAATTTTTTTTGAGGAACCTCCATACTGTCTTCCATAGCAGCTGTATCATTTTACATTCCCACCAACAGTACACAAGCATTCCAATTTCTCCACATCCTCATCATTATATCCCAATTTCTTGACAGGAGCCATCTTAATGAGTATGAGATGTCCTGGCACTTTTGAACTTAGAACCAGAGAAATCATCAACACAATCTCTCTCAAACGTAAAAGCTCTAAGAAGTAAAGCTTAGGTACTACTGGCAGCCCTGTCTCCTACCTCATAGAGAAGTCTGAGAGAAGGGAGAGAGGGAGTCTCCACACCATCAGACCAGCTAGTACTAGCTGTAACTGGGGCCTTAATGCTCGCCTGTCCTTGAATTTGATGAGACACCTCGGTAACCTTATCATAAATTTACCTTTTTGCTTTAGTTTGCATTTGGCTATTTTCATTTGTAACCATAAATCATAACTGTAACAAACATCTTAGTAGAAGAGTTAATTCTTCTTGCTTTTTGTCTTGATTCCTTCTTATAAGGAAATGCGATACGAATAGTCTGTACATTTTAAAAGCCCTAAATGCCCTTGGAGTACAGCCTGATAGTTAGAGCATGGGTTTGGAGTCAGCCCAATCTGGCTTCAAATCCTAGCTCAGCAAATGTGTACCAAGTGTCTGTTTTTAAAGCAGCATGCCTTGTAGATGCCGGTGATAAGTTAATGGACAAAAATCCCTGCCTTATAGAGCTTTCTTCTAGTACTCAGCAGATATTTGCTTGTCTGCTCTGTGCCAGCCGCCATTAGGCTGAGTATATATGCCTATTTACAAAATGGGAATAATAAATTACCTTGTTCATTTGTTGAAAGGAATCATTATAAGGTATGCACATGCTTAACACAGAGCAAGCACTCAATGAGTAACACGTTTGCTTTTAGACATGGAGTCGTGCCTTGACGGAAGTAGCCTCAACAGCTATGGTACATCCACTGTATGTTCCACATTTGTCTTAAAATAGAACTCACATCTTGATAAAATTCACTCTCCAGTGGGAGCAAGAGAGAGTACAGGTGATATGAGCTGTTGCGGAATAATGAGGAAGTAAAAGAATATGGTGGATGTGAGCACAGACTTTGGAACCACCTACCTACTTTCAGATCCCAGCTTGCCCTCAGGAAAATCACTTAACTCTGCTACTCAGTTTCCTCAATTGAAAAATAGAGCCGATAATGAAGATGCTACCTCATGGGGCTGTTGTGAGGATGAAAAGTTGTTATGTATAAAGTACTTAAAACATGACTGGCCCATGGTGCTATATAATAAATACTTGCTAACATTATGTATAAACTGCTATGGGAAGACATAGGGAGGAGAAACTAAGCCCCCTAGAGGAACGAGGAAGCTTTGTCTGAACAGAGGACAGCCTTGAAGGATGTGCAGGAGTTCACTGGATGAGGAGTAAGAGAAAGGGTACTTCAGGTGAAGAAAACAGTTTAAGCAAACAAGCTAACCTATGAAGAAATCATATACATTTAAAAAAACAAAAACAATAACAACTAATAGCTGAAGACTAGCTGGGTGGCAGATAAGCCTGAGGCACTCTTTTCGGCCATTAAATCCACTGGGGACCACCAAACTAGTCAGTTTTAAGTCAGAGCTTACCCCGATAACTTTTGGGAACTGACACCATACCATAAACTAACATTTTAGTAGTATTAACAATATTTCCCCAATGAAGCAAATAACTCTAATTTATAGCTATCATTTATTGGGTACAGCAGTGCCAAACACTAGGCTGTTTTCAAAAAGACCTCATTTAATCTCTACAATGTCCCCTGGAATAGAGGTAATAATTCCATTTTATATATGAGGAAACTCGGGCAGCTTGAGCAATTTTCCCAAGGTTACACTGACAGTTTATTAGGTAGGACTGTTCAGCTGAAAGTACAAGTAGCAGGTTGTTTTTGTTTTTTTCACATAAAAAGAAGTCTGGAAGAAAGTGGTTAGAGCCCTTTAAGAGTCCAGTTATTCTACTATATCACCAAATTACCTTCTCTTTCCTCCCCACCTTCGTTAGTGTTAGCATTGACCCTAAGGCTCATTCAGTCTCACATTACCTATGCTTTTTAAATTCTCATCTTAAAATCTCACCAGCCAGGATTTTGTCAAACTTTACTTTTTGAAATATTTCAGAGGTCAGCTCATACAAATCACTGATTTCACAGATGGGGAAATAGATTTGCCCCTAGCAAGCTATCAGAGCTAATTAGTTAAAGCAACCTGGAAACCCGTGCTCATTCCACCATACTAACTTAGTGGAGACTGCAAGTTGCCCACCAGAATCTGTCCTCTCATTCTTTCTTGGCACATGGCTAGACTACTCTCAGCCTCCTTTGCAGGTAGGTGTGGTCATATGACTGAATTCTTGCCAACGGAAAGGAAAGCAGTGAGCAGAAGTATGTGCACCGCTGCAGGGTCTAGGCCTTAAGGAATCAGGTGTGCCTCCTCTGCGCCTTTTTCCTTTCCCACTGGCAGGCACCAGTGATGACCCAGCTTCAACCATGTAAGTGATGACAATGCCTCCCCACCCCGCCTCCACTCCCAGAGGATGGAGAGGCAACATGATATAAAGAACCTGTGTCCCTGAATGACCGCTTAGAGCAGAGCTGCCCCACTGACCCGGACTGCTCACTTCAGAAGTGTTAACTCCCGCCTCAGAGTTATGTGAGAGAGAAACAAACTTCCTTGTTCTTTAAGCCACTGTATTGTTGAGTCTGTTACAACAGCTTAGCCTTTTACCCGAACATAACCATGCAGGTTCCTTTGTACATATTCAGAATAGCTTTACAAATAACCAATTACCCGCCTTTTTAGAAAACAGCCCTAACCTCTCGAGTATGTGATAATCATATGAAATCTCTTCCTGTGGCCAGTATCCCAACATTTCTTCATTCTGGTTAGTCTATTTAACAATTGAAGCAGATCGTTTATGCAGCGACCCACTTAACTTTTATGTTTGCATGCAATTAATTCAATAAATATTTGACTTTCTAAATGCTAGAGATATATAGACAGGTTCCTACATTCATAAGAGTTTGCTTTCTACTGAGTGTTGTTTTTTTTAATGTTGTGCAGTAGGTTTTAAGCAGAAAAATCCTCTTTGTAGAATGTGGAACTGAGGCTAAGAATACAAATAATTACTGAGAGTTACAAAGGATCATATTGTGCTTATAGTTGAACTGCTATTCTCTTGCTTAGCCCTAAAAATCAAGCAAAATATTTTAAAGACTAAGAATTCAGCTTTTTCTTCTAAGTATTTCCTAACCACTTAAAACTACATTGTCTAAACTGCAAGTATCTAAAGTCTAGTCAAGATTTTTTACTTTATGTCAATTATATCTCAATAAAACCTGGGGGATTTTTATTGACAGAGGTAGATGGACCTAATACCTTGGAATTAATTACTTAAGCCGTTTAGATAGCATTGCTAGGGTTGCAGACTCTGGGTACCTGGACTGGATGGTTCTGCTTGTCTGGTGATTGGATGAGGCCAGACCGTAAAAAATGGCATTCTGCATCCTCCTTCCAGGCTGAACAGCCCCAACTTGCTCTGTGACTGAAGAACATTCCCGTTTGGAGCCTGTTTCCCCTTCTGTACAAGGTGCTAAGGACCCCTTCATCTTTACACTTGCGAAAATCACTAGGAAGAACTATTTCCCTTCTCTACGCTCACCAGCAAAGTCATGCAGAGGACAGTGCCTCCCATGTGGGCAATAAGCAGATTTCTAGTGTTCTGCCTTCCCCAGCTCTCTGCTTGCTGCATTTAGTTTCTAAGAATAAGGGCAGTGGGCACAACCACAGTGCCTTAAACTTTGTAGGTACTTCATTAATATTAGTCGCTTTGTTTTTTTCTTTCAAGAAATTCCTGATTTCCAATTGCCATAGAGATAGCAATGAGCTCAATGGGAAGTTGCCACTCCAAGTATTTCAGATGGAAGGATTAAAAGCTTTTTGAGGTAGGATTGTTAATAAAACTGGTTTTTCCTGCTTGTCCACTGAAACGTTTTTTTCAAAGCTTTAAAACACATTCAGCGACTTAAGTGAAGAGCATTTCAGAAAGATGAAGTTCTTCCCTAAAAACAGCTAGCTTATTTAACACAGTGCTTAATGGCTTGAGTTCTGAAGTCAGCCAGCTTCACCTTAATTCTGGATCTGCCACTCACTAGCTGTACTCCTTTGCTGAGCCTCAGTTTCCCCACTGGTTAACAGGAATAGAAATAGCATCTCCCTCCCGGGGTTATCTGGGGAGATAATGTATATATAAAGTGCTTGATCCTGCTTGACTCACACTAAGTATTCATCTCCACTTCCAATGGGAAGATGTGTCTTCCCACCCTGTTAGGGCCTGAAGTAGTTAATAAGCTGATTGTGAAAATATACCATGTTTAATGTAAAGAACAACATGGGGTGGATACAATGATAATTTTTTATTTGACTAGAGAAAAAATTATTCTTGAGATTCAAATCAGTTAGAGTGGAATAAGGCTCAATAAAACTCAAGGGGCCCAGGACATCCTACAGATTAGAAGAGAAGCTAATCAATTTGAGAAACCCAGCTTTCCAGATCACATTGTACCCTATCTGCAGTCTTGGTCCCAGACTCCTGCCCCAGCATCGTGCTGTCCACACCAGGTCCCTCAACACATGCCTCCCCCAACACGTGCACGTGTGAGCGGGCACACACACACTCCCACACACCAAGGTGGAGCAGGTCTTCACATGACCTGCTCTTACAGCAAGTATCCTTTCTTTGCAGCCCTTATCACAGGTCTAATTCTATAATTATTTGGTCAATGTAGGCTTTTTTTGATCACCACTATATTCTAAGAGTCTAACACATAATACAGCACATAGCACATAATAAGTTCTAAAATATTTCCTGGCTGAATAAATGGGCTGGCCATAGCTTGAGAATTCCTCAGAAGCTGGTTTTGGCCTAAACCCTGGCATTTGAATAAAGTTCAGTATATGAAGGTGAGTATATTGGTAGACTCTAGGGTAGATGATCAGGGGCCCAAACAGGAGACCTGACAGAGATGGCAGGAGAAATCCATGCATGCCCAGGAAGTTCCAATAGGTAATACGACAGATAAAGACAGTATGTGCTACGTGCTCTTTTTTGGGTAAGGGGATAAAATAAGAATATATATTTGTGTATTTGTTAGGTTTTGGTTGAAAACTCTTGAGAAATATGTAAGGCGCTAATAAGTGATTACTTACAGGGCATGGAGCTGGGACTGAGATTTCTCAGTGAATGTCTTTTTATACCATTTTGATTTCTAAACTATATTAAAAAAAAGCTAGTAAAAAATAAAACTTTTAAAAATGCTAGAAGGAAAAAAAGAGTAAGTGAAGCTATGGAATTCAGCACTGTTTAAAAGGCCAATCAAGTTTGACAGGTCTTTCACTTGAACCTCTCCTATGCATAGTTAACAACACATTTACCAAGAATTGCTTTTTAAGGTCCAGCAGAAATGCTGCTTCTTTCACAATCCCTTCCCCACCCCTCCAAAATGAAACTCTACACAGCTCTTACGGTCTTGGATTTTCTTTTATCTAGATTGGTTGTCTGTATATATATATATACATATATATGTACGTATACACACACACACACACACACACACACACACACACACACACACACACACACACACGTGTGTGTGTGTTTTTATATGTATAAATTCCCTGAAAGCAAGAACCACGTCTTATTTTATCTCTGTATTCCCTCTTGCCTAGTCCAGGGCCTCTCACATAGTAGATTCTGAACAAGTAAAATATTACTTGAGAGGGGAGTTATTGCTTGATGCATACAGTTTCTGTTTGGGGTGATAAAAAGTTTTAGAAATAGAGGTGAAAAAAAAAGAAAAGAAATAAATAGCGGTGAAGGTTGCACAACATTAAATATAATTAATGTTGCTGGATTGTAAACTTAAAAATACTTTATGTTATATACGTACATACATATACTTAACATTACTGGCAGCTTAGGTCATTCCAGAAAGCAAGCTTCAACTGGCGATAACTAAAATCTCCAATAAAAGATCGTCTCCAGATGTCTTCTAGGAATATAATTAAGTGCTCAATAAACATTTGCTAAATAGTAAGAATGATCACATGAAGAATGTCAATTTAAGAAAAAAAAATCATGTTGATTACAGAGCATATTGTGTATAAACTAGATGTGGACATATATATCTTTTTAAGGACTAAAGAGGCTCTTGCAAACTTTTTTTTAAATTAAACTTTCATTAAAAATATAGATTTCCTAACTCAATAGAAAGATGGCAGTGATAGTAATTAACACGGAGGAGGCGCCTGCAAATGTAGAAATCTTCAGTTTTTCAAGTCCCATGTCACAGCCACTTCAAGTCTCATTCTCTCATTCTTTACAGAATTCCAGGAACTAGTTTGGTTCACTTGATCATCTCACTAGGGCCAGTCTTTTCCTGCCATTTGTGCAAATCCAGAACTCTTGATTGGCTTACAGTATTTCAGTCATCTATAAGTGTCTGGAAATGAGATATTTTTAGCTAGACTCAGGGATATATCCCTTTTTTTTAAGGGATATAGTGAACTCTGGTATTCATTATCAAAAAGAGCCTTAAGTATAAAAAAGTACAATCTGTGTCTCTCTTAAAAATAGATCCTTTAAGGTTAAAAAATTTCCTTCCTGAACTCGACATTGCCAGCCAGACACATTAGCCACACGAGGAGCTGACAAGACCTGCTGTTTTCATGACAGAGAACAGGAGACTTTAAAACCACACAACTGAAAGAAAATGGTGGGAGCTTTCTGCAGAGCACTTCCCGGCCCAGACTGGGACACAGATATAACCTCCTTCTTGAACTGGATCCCGCCAACTTTGCAAAGGCCACTGGACATGTCTCTTAAACACTGGATTTCAGCTCTTCATCATTCTTCCCTGGAGATCCCTTCTCTTTAAGCACTTTGTCATGTTCTGGGGAAATACTCTGACTTTCTATAATGGTGATGGCATCTGAGTCCAATCTTCTTCTTTTCTTCAGTCGGTGCAAGTGGGATTTGGATTTTATATGTGCTAAAACAAAACAGCAACAACAATAAAAACTAATTAGGATTTTCTAGAATTAATCTTAGAAGTATAATATTAACTATGCAGTCCTTGCCTTTAATAACAGCATCAACACGTGTTGGTATAGCTGCTCCGCATTTTTAAGGGAAGAATAAGTTATATGTCCAGCTGGCTAGCAAACTACAGTGAGCTACTACGTATCAAGTGCACCCTGCTAGGTGCTTTACATTATTAATCCTCCCAATAGCCTTGCAGACAGTACTATTCTGCTCATTTTATACAGGAGGAAAGTGACAGAGAGATCTGTCACAGAGAGATCTGTGACAGAGAGATCACAGAGATCTTATATTTTGTCCAGGACCATATAACAGGTAAATTCTTCAGTTTACCTATAGCTCCAAAGAGGCCCAATTTTCCAGAATCAGGACTCTTGACTGAATTTTTCAGTATGGGGTTTCCCATTACAGCTACATTTCAACTTATATAACTAAAAAGTTACAAATCCAAATCTCTGTCTGTATTTCAGGACAGGTACCCTGTCCTGCCATAGGCCTAGAGCACCCAAAGATGCCCTTCCCACTTCTTCCCTGCTTGCACAGGTTGCCCCTCACTCCCCAGTCTGAAATCCCTCTGCCTGGGTCAGATAAGCCATCTGAATGACTACCCCACAAGGCTTACATTCTCCAGGCACACAATGCTCCAGACAGATAACAAGAAAAATTCTTCTCTAATGATCCCTTTTGAGGGTCCACAGAAGCAATAAAGCTACTGTTGCCTATATCAATTTCTGACCTCTTACCCCAAAGACAGTTCCCATCCTCTGACTAACCCACACAAGCTCCTTTTCACTAGCCTGTTCTTTTTCAAGGAAATCATATTTGGGAATGCCTAAAAAAATAGACAACTAGATTAAATTCTTTTATACATATTTACATCCTCATTTTTAAGGGTTTAGAAGCAAAAATGAGAGAGGTTAGAAGTCAAAGAAAAGTTTACTTAGGGAAAAAAGTCAGCTTTGTTCTCCAGCTAGCCTGAGACATGGCAGCAGGAGACGGGAGCAAGGATTTGACAGATGGCACTATAGAAGGGCTTACACAAGCTAAGCTCAGAAAGGCTCACAAATGTTGCTTCTCTAAGGCTATCCCTGAAGGACACTCGACAAATTGAACCACTAAGTTTCCTTGAGAAAAAACAATCAGACACTCTTT